AATCTGTGGCGACATCCATGCTGGTGAAACAGGATGGAAGCTTTAAAACGGCCAGGCCGATTGTCTGGCACAACGACATTAGAATCACATCCTGTCTGACTATGTCTGTCAACGACTTGCCAACTGTTTTTGAGTTAGCTGTACTGAAGTCCAGTGGGGAGGGGTGGGGATGTTCTTGCCAAAGGAAATTAGCATCTCACAATTGTACGCAGTCCTTCACTACTAAAGTGTAAAGCAAGCCACCAACTATTGATCAAATAATACTGAGTTAAAGGATTTTCAGGCTATTCACCCTATCAGCAGCGAATTTTTTTACACCAGTTGTGTACTTCGCTTCAATTAAGCAAACATTTTATCCTTATAATGTTATTATCTATAATGAAGAGCAACATTTAATAAAAGAGCAACACTAAATACATGCTAAAATTTAAATTGAATTTAATAACAGACAAATCATGTTATCATATGAAATTAAAAATTTATCTTTTATGATGAGCACAACTAGTTATAATATCATTTTGCAAACGTCCTGCAAATGGAGAGTGGGTTTTTGAGACATCATTGGTGATGAACAATATACTGCTCTGGACAAATAAATGACAAAGATACTGTAGGTAATCAAATATCATGTACCCGTGGTTCGCTTAGAGAGTTCCTTCCATACCAAGAGGAACAAAATGGCGCAAATACATATAGTTTTGAGGAGTTTTAACGCTGATGAGTGATTAAAAGAGGGGACAAACGTAGCGCTACAATGGCCTGAACATATACGAGAGCAAAAAACTGATGTTACATGTTCCTAAGCACCAGGAGTAGACCGTTATACAGTAATTCGCCATTCGACTAGAGCATATGCTTCGAATTAACAAAGCCTTCCTTCTTATTTCTGACAGGTAAAGCACAGAGCGTAAATGAAGAGGCCATGAAGAAGAAACAGCAAAATGAGTATTATGAAAACATCACAGCAAATTTAACGAAACTACAAGTATTCGAGTAAACGTGGAAGACGATTTACCTGTATTCAGCCTGGAACGATCGCAGAACGCAGTGCAAAAGTTCGCCCTGGAGACTGAAGTGCGTAAAGCTGACGACACCACTCGACTCAAATGATGTCATTAAGGTTTTCATGGTAGGATAAACCTCTAATCAATTGAGGAATGTGTAAACCACCATAAACAGTTCATTATCAAGCGTTCATTTTACCTAAGTTCATCTGACGGCAATTCTCCACGTACGATTCTTCTAACGAAATCAACTCCCAGCGGTCCACCTTACCAATCAACTAAAAAGCACACTAAAAAAGAAATGTCATATGCATCTCTGACTGACCTCTGAGTATTCATCGATTACCAAAGAAATCGGATCAGACTTCGACAGCTCCGCTCCGTCAGTGGTGCACAACGTCAGAAACGGCCTCTTTTTGTGCCGTTCATAGTAACGAAGTGCAACTTGATCTTCTAGCCATTTAACATTTTCAGAATATTGGCTTAATGGAAAAGGAACTATGAGCATAAGCATAAAATTTAGAACTGTAGAAAAAAGCATTTATAGACGTAAATGGAGAATTCGATTTATTTGAACATAAGTTTAGCTAGTGAACCCATTTCTCAAAAACACATTCATCAGAATAGAAGGATTTTGTATGACACGGAATGCTACCAAAACTTTTCGAAAAGTTCTCCTATACGCGATGAAATCGTATATCGAGTTTATCATATAATACATATTGTCCTATGTTTCGGATGATGCTGATTTGTCTTCAGGGATATGTTAAAAAACCGATGCGAAAGTCCCTATGTGAAGTCGGATCGAGTACGATCCAGACGTTGTAGAAGATATACATAAGAAACTCGATATGCAGTGTCATCCCGTAAAAGACCTTTTGAATTTGAAACTGTAATAATAAATATAAAATAATTAACGATGATATTTCAGTGCACATTATTTTCATTTTGCCATGTTTGTAAAATTAATAAATAAAATAATTACTTAATGGCATCCATGTTATCACGAACAATTTTTATATAAAATCAAAACAAAAAAGAAATAAATCATCAGTGCCATTTTAACTGAAGTCAGGATGCATGCAAACGAGCAGAGCAAGAGTGTCGACGAAAGACTGCACTATAATGAAAAGAAAATAAATCATAGGTTGCAATTCAACAACAGGAATGCAACAGTATCATATAGCACATTGGAGCGCCCAGAAATATGAAATATTCTCTTAAGAGTTATAAAGCTAATAACCTTATGTGAGATGTCTTGAAGAACATAGCGAGGTAAGCGTGTTAAAATTTTTCAATTACTATTTATCCTGGTCCATGTATCCTTTCAGATTGCAGAGTCAACTGATCGAAGAGTTTTTTTACAAAAGTCCAACAGTCTGTCATAAGAGCGATAATAATATATTCAACCAATCTAGCTCTCAATGCCAGATTTTCATCTGTCATACGACATAATTAAGACAAGCTACTTCATATCTGAACTACGCGCTCCTATTAGGATCATTTGAAATACAAGTTCAACATGTAGCTAAGTTTAGACACAAAATGTTGGTTTATAGTATAAAAAATAATTTAAAACAGTTTGACTTGCTGATGCTTTGGTAAGCCACAAACGGTAAGAAAACGCATAAAATACTTTTTATTAAGGCCATCTGAAGGGTCGCACCAAGCTCTGTCCGTGTTCAAAGTACAACGAGAAAGAAACGTAATATTTTCATGCGAGTCTGGTTGAAGTCGGCAGAAGGATCTGACAGAAGACCAGAAGTCCGTTCTCTCCAAAGGCATAAATTTTGCCCTTGCTAGACAAAAGTGCCATTTCTCGAAATTGCGACATCGATTGAACGAGCATATCTGATAAATCACCAAACGGCCATCCAGGACTTCGCCAAATTAGATGCTGCCCAAGTTCAAAAATTTCAGATTACGGGATCCAATGCCAGTAAGTCTGAACAAACTATTTTAAAACAATTGGATAATGATGACAACACTGCCATAATGAAAACAGATAAAGGAAACGCAACCGTGTTTATGGATAAAGAGAAATATCTTGTTAGCTGCGCTGAACTACCTAACAACGGCTATTGGCCTGCTAGATGAAGATCCAATAAAACGGCTGATGGAGTCCCTGAAGAAAGCGATTAGAACTATGGAATTGAAGAATGAAATGAGCGCCACCTCACGACCAAGAAATCAAAGGATCAGAAAGCCGGTTGGGTGTACCAGCTTCCGTGCTCCTGTGGTGCGATTTACATAGGCGAAACGGGTAACACGGTTCAAGAAAGGAAGACGATGAAATGAGGAATCTGATAAGGTGGAAGAACGCTAATGCTACAGAAAGGGATGAACAGCAAGTCGGTACGGGTCGGAGACAGACGAAAAACCCCGGACTTATAAAGGCAGAATGCGAAAAAAATTCTGCCATTGTGGAACATACTGTTACCCACCAACACAGTATATCGTGGGACCGAAGGAAAGGTGTCACGTGAGAACAATAACTTTACCGCAAAGTCAAGGAAGCGATATCAATCCTCGGAACTAACTGCATCAATCGTGACCATGGAAGGACTGACATCAATATATGGACTGCAAACATCAGGCGGCCGCTTAAGACCAGAAAGCATACGTGGCATTGTGAAACATACAGGTCAACCAGACCCGCATGGAAATAATACGTGCCTTTTGTCACTTACTCTGAAAACCGACCGAAACATCAGATGGCCTTGGTTAAAGAATATTTTGAGTTGTCCCCCGTTTGTGACTTACCCGTTTGTGACAAAGCATCATATGATCTCCCGCATAAATAAATCATGTACCTTATTCAATTTGACTTTTTCATGTTATTCCACACATCGTCATCTCACGCGAATAAAGTCTAAATATGAGACTTCCCAAAACCGGCGAAGTGTTGCTCGTTTAAAATAGCATCATATTTACAGTAAGCATATTGTTCATTACAAACATACGTAATGTATTTTACTATATAGTATTAGTGGCTTGCTTTTACTCAAATATATCATACCTTGGTTCAATAGGCACAGCAGCGACCCAGCTATTGACAGTTACTCTAATCCAAACGGAATCAGTAGAAGAACGAGAGCGACCAGAAACGAATGAACGGTCGCGGCTCAGAGGCAATTCAGGTACTGTGGATGAGAGCGATGGAAGTTCGATCGAACAAACTCCATCATCGTCTGAGTCTCGAATTCGTTTACGTCTGACGTCTGTATTTGCTTTGTAATTTCGTTTGCACTTCACCACCATACAGTCGTCGTGAGAAGAAAAAAGATCTACACTGGACGACGCTGAAGCATTCTCCAAGAACGAGCTGTCATCGAGAATGCCAATCAGTTCATCGCGGATAGGTGACGAAGAATGCGCACTCCTTTTCGACGAAAAGTTGAGGTTTTCGGCAGTTACCTCCGAAACAGCGTCTTCTTCAGCATCAAAGATGACCACATCGTCGCTAACTAAATAGTTTCGAGCGGCGTCAAACGCGTCCTCACTCACCAGAGCTCCTACGCTGACTGCACCCTTGCGTTTGTCTGATAACATTCCTGCAACGCCGCGTTTTGAACGGCTGCCCATAGACATTATCGCGTCTTTGTAATATTTCGATCCGGCTCCTGGTTTGTCGATGTCTCCGCTTTCTACATCCTGCGGGTGCTTATGAAGAGATTTGCTGACGCTCTTCGTCGTTGTGGTTCCACCAACATCGATTGCATGGATCCTAGATTGCGAAGATCTTTCAGTGAAAGTTTCATCACATTCCACGCCATTGAAACCGGATAGAGAAGAAACCTTTGAAACTAAAATCGACACTTGAAAGAGCGAAGCGCCATAACGATAAATTTCATTACCATTTAAACAAAGAAAATTTCCAGGGCATCAGAAGCTACTGAACATAAACCGCAGAGCTTCATCATTTTTAATTGGAATTCTAAATTTAAGGTTTACATCTAGTGCTGATTTGACTTTTTATATAGCTATCACATAGTTCAAGCCTAACTGTAGCTGAAGCCGAACGAATCGAAAAGCACCGCTATTTGTCTGTCGGCTCTGGTCTGACCAAACTGGAGCGCCTTGCTGCACTTAATGTTCCCAGGTCAAAGACATCCTCTCTCGGTTGGTTGTGTTAAAACACTGAAATACTGGGTTGGCTTCCACCTTCAAAGGTAACCGGTTTGAATCCGAAGAAGAGAAATCTGTCTTCACTGTGAATTCCCTTGAACAAAGAATCTACTTTACGTTGCTTCAGTGCAACCAGCCGAAAAATTGGAAGCAAGTGGCTAACTTGCGAACAAAAGGAGGCAGCACAGCGTTGTGGCACAGACATACGAGAATGCGTCAAAGATATGGAGTTGCTACTGAGGTAAGCGCCTAATAAGACTGCAATTAGCCTTGACCCACCTGATCGCTGCTCAATCAATGCAATAATCAACAGGTGCAACCCCTGTTGTCGATGTTGAAACAGTGGGGTCAACCACTGCTCAACGAATTGACAGTTAATCAAATCTGTGAGAATTTTATGCCGCGCAGGACCTCTTTTAAAATGCACATAACTGAACCTAACACCGTACACCATGAAAAGTTTTCAGCAATTACTTGTTTTCTCGATATTGATTAAAGCGCCATGCGCTAATCAGCCAATAACTCTGAAAGAGCATTCAATTCGAATGGGCAAACGGACGCAAACCTTGTACAGTACTAAAAAAGTTATTAATTTTGCATGGACCCGCTTTATTTTACAATAATAGGGCAGGTGAAGTAAACTCTTCGAATACATGCATAAAATATGCCCCTGACACCTTGGTAACCAGCGGATGGCTACATAATTTCCCAAAGTATTCAAGCGCAGTAACTTCAGTTCAAGACCTGTCAAGGGAAAATGACTTACTGATTAACCATAGCAATACCGAAGAATGTTTATTCCAACCCCAAGCATTCCTGTAACAGGTATACTAAGCTAACGATCTCTGGCCTTTTGCCGGTCGGATTTGCAACGAACAGTTGCTTAGCCTTCCTTTCTGGAGGCATTCGCAACACAT